TCTATATTATCTTGTAAATTACAATAAATTACCCATTCATTTAATAAATCATCTTAAAAATAAAACACATTTTTTAAAATATATTTTATAAAAATAAGTAATATTATTAGCTTTAACAAACAATTAATTTTTTTGTTTCTAAATCTAAAAAAAATTGTATATAATTTAGTAAAGGCTTTTATAATTATGAACCTTTTATTAGAAAAAGTAAATTCATTATTTTTATTTTTTAAAAATATTATGAAAAAGGTAACATTATTTCTTAAACATCAACATTATAACAATTATATATACCTAATATTTTTTTTATATATTTAGATTTCTTAAACTTTATTTATTCAAAAACTAATTTTAATAATTATAAATAAAACTACAAATAATTGTTAATAAAGTATAGTTAATATACTTTTTTTATATTATAAAAAAACAAAATTAGTTTTAATAAATTTTTTTATAACTATAAATAATTTAATTATTGATTAAAATATTATTAGTGTACTTGTAAATTATAATATTTCAATTATATTTTTATCTTTTTTTAACTAATTTAGCATTATATATAAAAAAATATTATTGTAAAAGATTATATTTATTGATATTACAATTAACTTATATTCTGTACTATGTTTATATTTTGAATTTAATTAGGTAAAATTATAAAATATTTATATTTCATTTTAATTAATTAATAAATAAATTATTCATTTATTTATATAAGGATATGTGACTTACATTTAGTTTCTTTTTATTTGTTAAAACTTTATTAGATAAAATTAAAGAAATATTTATACAAAGACTAGTATAATATTGTTGATATATTGATTATTTGTATTATTGTAATATAATAAAATATAAAAAAATCTTTTTCTACTACAATTAGATAAAATTTATAATTTAAAATAATTTTGTATACTAGAATTATCCTGTTTATTAGTCAAAATAAAATTAAGTATAACAAAACAAACCTTTAAAAATTATTTGTCAAATTCATATAAATTTGATTTAATTATAACTTATATTAATTTTATTAGCATATTTTCTAAAAAGTTTATATTTTCTTTAAATTTTTTTTCAACAAAAAAACCTATAATTTCTTATGTTAAAGATAGACTTTAACAACTTAATAATTTTATTAAATCAAATACGTATAAGAGCTATGAATTTTAGTTTACTATGCGTCCTGATAGATCATTTTTTATTACTGTCAAATTTTTAATCCAAAATTTATTTATACAAGAGGAGTTAGCCAAAAAAATCTACAAAACTATGAAATTATTTCTGAGTTAAGTAATTTATCAGATGATTTATTAAATGAATGGGTAATTTATTGTAATTTACAAGATAATATAGACGTTGGAAAAATTGACTTAAATGAATGCTGATTAAAATTCAATAAGAATTTACATTACCACTTTTATTTTAAATCACTCGTGATTACATCTGGTTACCGATTTCTTCATGTAGTGTAGAAAAAAACTTTTCTAAATACAACGCAATTCTAGATAGCAATAGACAAAATTTATCAAAAAACTCTTTAAAATGTTTAAATATGTTGTATTTAATGATAAAATCAGTGAATAAACCTTTATTAGGTTATTAACAGTAAAAAAATTTTAATTGTAGAATATATATATTTTCTATATTATCAGTACAGAATCTTTAAATATTTTATCACGGAAAATGTGCAGAAAGGCAATTTTTAATGCACGGAAATTTTGCAGAATTTTTGGTTTTGTGTCACGGATGGAATTGTAATTTTCACCGCAGAAAATAATCGTCCCTGTTCGGAAGTGATGGATCTTGGATATTACCTAAAGTAGAAATTTCGGGGGAGGTGGCAATTCATGCACAACATATATATATGTCGATATACTTGTAAATATATGAATTTTTTAAAAAACCTTAACCAAATTTCTTCAATACGTACCGTAAAAATATTTGGATGTAAATTATGGAGGGAAACATGCCTAGTGATGATGAACAACGTAGGTATAAGATTTTGCTTCTTAATCGATAATCAAGTGATAAATAAACGATATAGAATTAAGCTCTGCTGCTTTTTTATAATTATTTAAAAATATATCCTAATTAATAATTTTTTGTATAAGTATACGTTCAAGATCTCCTAGGTGAACAAACCCGTCAGATGCAATCAGAAGAACCCGGAGAACCATCACCAAACCGACTAAAAAAACTGTGTCAAACTGAAGCCAAAAAAAAATTATTTCTCAAAATTGATCTTCAAAAAATCGAAATTTTCGCCAATGATGGTTGTACTCATAACTATACAAATGGCTCTAGAAAAGATTCTATGTCGTTTTTGGTCAAATATCAGAGGAATGAAGTGTCACTGTGTTTGTTCGGATATAAGCATGAAGTCGTGATTCCATGGCCAGAGTTAAAGGGATTTAGATTAAATGCAACTTCTCGTGTTTTAACAATTAAATTAGATCATGGGTTTTTAAGATTGGTATGAAATTTAATTGGGTAAATTGTTGTGATGTCATTTTATTAGTATTCCTAACGAATCATTCTATTTTATTGTATCGTAAAGTATTATTTTCATAAAGACGGGTTTCCATATATGCTACCGCCAGTGACAATAAACAGTGACCCTACTAATGGAATATTATCCAACGCTATTGGGTTTTGTCTCTATCCTAAACCTTGGGAGCATTCAAATACATTGATGGTAGCAGAAGCTGGTATAAATAGGTTATGTTTTGTTGATATGAACAAGGAGAATGAATTACTAATTGTGAATAAAAAGGAACAAGTATTTATTACTATGATTATTATTATTAATGAAGATCAAAGTTGAAGTTATTTGAATTTGATAACATGATGATTGTGTTTATAGGATGAACCTAATATTTCCTATGACAAGGTAGAACGTAAATGATTTTCATCATTATAGTGAACCGCACCCAAAAAAAAAGACAATTTACTAATTATTATTATAAAAAGATTTCTATCCAGTGTGTTTTTGAATCCAAACTATGTAACTTAACATTACCTATAAGTGGCACATTCGCCGATTTCTTGACTTTGGTAAATCAACAATTCGGGGTTTCACCAGAATGGATTGAATATTGTGACCGAAGGAGCAATGAGAAGATTAGTATTGCGAATGAAGAGGATTGGAAGATTGCAAAAAATGGTTATATTAAGATGAGGATGAGAGTGGGAAACGAAGAAAATGAGATATTCAAAATTTTTTTGACAAACTAGGTATGGTTTAAGGACCTCTGAACTTGAAATCTGATAAGGTATAAACAATAACTCTTCAATTATTTGAGTGTTCTTATTTAGTTAGGTGTAATTTATCTCGAACAGTTTATAACACTAGCTACTCTATATTTAAACTTCAATATAATGGTTCAAATTGACATCACATTAGAAATGGATTCATTTTATAAAATAGAAAAGACTTTGTAGGTTCTTAATATAGTGTTATTAATTGTATTTGTAAGTGCCTAATGTGTATATTTCATTACAAGTAAAGATAATAAAGACCGTTTGTATTTTAAGGATCTCGCTAAGGTAGTGCATTTATGTCTTGTATTAAAAACTACTATAACATTTGATATACTTAAAAAGATTCAAAATTAACTAATCAATTTGGGTGCGAGATATAATAAGCGTAATATTGTACATTCCTTCTAATAATAGATAGTCTATTTTATAGTTTATAAATTATGTAATATGAAATAAATCAAATATTTCGTGATCCGGTCGAACGGGTTTTTTACCAATCCGATTCTTGTCGAAGAAGGTATGAATACTATAAAATGGTTCGATTTTGATTACTGGTTACAGAGATATTCAGAGATATATTCGATTCTCTATCTTCTCCGTAATATTTTTTTACTTTAACGTATCTCAGATATTCTGTAAAAAAAACTTTTATATACCTTTGGATTTTCTGTAGGATGTATCATATTTACATAGTATCCAATATGATTTTAGCCTTTGTGCTTTAATCACATTGTTAGCTTAAATACTGGATTTTTGGCAGATGAAATTTTTATATAAACTTTTATATATCAACTGCCCAGATATTTTCATTATAAACATAATGCGTATATAACATGAGTATCGCCAAAATAGATTATTATGAATTTCTTAACAATCTATTTTTAGAATTGCACCTTTTCCTTAGGCGACACTCATATTTACAAAGATTTACTTTAAAATCTTAGAACATATCGAGTATTACTCCTGAAATCTGGACAGAATAAGAACTAATAATTAGTTAACAAGTCAATCTGTTACAATCCTTGTGTGATTAGCTACCCTACCTTTTAAAAATTTCTTTATTTGATTTTTTACCCAAGAACTATATAATAATACATGTATATTGTAATAACGAATACGTAAATCTCTTTTTAGTCGTATAATATATCTGTTCAAATTATTGCGGTTTGCAGAGTTATGAAAAAAAAGTAATCATTAATTTCCAATTATTGATTTCAATTTTAGACTAGACAAAATTTGCTCATTTATCATTTGTATATCGATATGATTTAAAAATCTACTCTAATCGAATTTAATTTTTAAATTCGAATTTTTATAAGCCGAATTTGAATTGATTCGAATAAATTCATATAAATTCGCATTATAGGTGTCCATGTTAGTAAACAAGTCCCGCACCACAATCCATCTTCCTCATGTTAAGACGGCTTCCAGAGACGGTTACAAGCAGAGTTGGACTATGACCTGTTAATGACCTATCGACTAATTATAGGTTATAACATTATATTATAATCACTTTGGTCATAACCTAAAACAACCACCAACGCTGGCTACAAGTGGTTTCATGATGGACACCAATGTTCGGACAAGTAGTCCTTTATATCCATCCTTTTTATCTTCGATCATACGTTGATGATAACGTCCAGTATCCGTTCTTTCAGTATTACCCATATCAGGTGATTTTTGATGATGTTTGAATGCCTTCTTTTCATCGGAACATTCAGGTATTTCTTTAATTTTTTCGTTTAAAGTCTTTTTAAATTGTCACCAAAGCACTGCATCACTATCGTCATGCTTTGGGTCATCGCAGCGAAATATGGTGATTTACCAACGAAGGCATGATTTCACGTTTACCAATTTTATTGTTTTTATTTAGAATGAAAGTGAAAAATATTATTTTATTTATTTATTTCTCATACCCTTTATATAAATCACATTAACACTATCAATTATATTATTAATTTCATTAACTTCCTTGTGATGTAGGTTTTTTATTACGGTTTTTTATATTGAAACTTATTATAATAGTTGTATAGCAAATTTGTTATATAATAGTGCAATTGTTGTCTAACAGTATAATAGTAATATAATGGTTGTATAATTGTATAACGGCTAAAAACAATTGCTTAATAATAATGGTTTTTTTAATGACTATGTAAAGGCTATGTAACGGCTTTATAATAGCTGTATAATGGTTTTGAATATTTGAATTAATTCAAATTCGTACTTAATACGAATTGATTCGAATATTCTCTACCTACTTTTAAAAGTCCGTCTGTACATAAACGAGCCTTCAAGAAAATCTCCACTAATCAAAACTTTTCTTTACAAGTAAAGCATCTAACACGGAGAGAATTGTCCATTTACGATTCTCGGCTTCCTGAAATACAACTGATCTTGGTGAATAGAATACCTGTAATACAGTTTGTTATATCATATAAATTAATAAAATATAAAGGTGATAAAATACAAAAATCAGACACCCAAAGTAATCACCTCATCTGTAACTTCTTCCTGCTTCCTTGGAAGACAATGTAAAAACTTCCAATGGGATTTAGCACCACCGTCTTTTGCTAATGATGACGTTACTTGATATCCTGCAAAGTCTTTAAGGCGTTTTGCTTTTTCAGATTCTTGTCCCATACTAACCCTATTTATCACAATGAGAATATCATATTTAATAAGTTACAACTCTATCATCAAAAATAAAAATGCTTAGCATACCAAGTATCAGTAACAATGACATCAGCATCCTTTACAGCCTCCTTAGGATCATGCGTAAAACTAATTTTAGTATTAGTTTTAACTGCCTCATCTTGTGCAATTTTTACCACTTCCTCTGCTGGATTATATCCGTCAGGCGTAGCTACTGATAGATGTACACCTAATTTCGGGAATGTGACCAGCATACTGTGCAAAATATTATTACCATCTCCGACCCATGCAACTTTCAATCCTGGAAGTGTTTGTTTAGGATGTGTCAAATGTGCAACATACGATGACTCATCTTTGGGTTGAGGCCCAAATACTTCGTGCATTGTCATTAGATCTGCAAGAATTTGTGTTGGATGATATTTGTCTGATAATGCGTTTATCACAGGAACAGTGGAATATTTTGCTAATGTCTAATTTATGTATTAATCAATAAATTATGATAGATATGATACATACGATATAGATACGAATATTAATAATTTTTACCTCAATATCAGAGTGGGATCCAACACGCGCCATTATCCCGTCTACCATGCTAGACACAACTTTGCTAGTATCCAACAATGATTCATTTACACCTAATTGAATATCTTGAGACCCCAAGAACATTGGCTGACCACCTACACATTAAAATAATTTAACCAGGATTAATCCATGTGACAAAGTCTGAGTTGACGATCAAACCCAAGTTTAGGGGACGTCTAAAGCGGAGTAGATTCTTTATAATATATTTCGTTGAATTAACTTTATATATAGAGATCACAATAATTATCATCATGATCTATATATATAACTGTATAAAGTCACTTAAAAAAAAGGACCCCATAGTGGAACTTTGAAATACCCGGTATATAGATCACGATGATAATCATCGTGATCTCTATATATAAAGTTACTTTAAAAACAGGAACCGTGAAGTGGAACTTTTGAAACACCCTATATAAGCAAAATTGCCTTCCTGACATTTTTAATTAACCTATCCAAGGTAGGTTTAGACTACCGTTTTTCGTATTTTTTAGGTTTTTCGTTTTGATTTCTTGTTTTGCTTCGCCGGCGATCATCAAAATTATTTAATTTGATTGGCTAAAGGTCACATGACTATACTCTGCTTTAGATACCCAAGTTTAGTAACATAACAAATTAAAATACGTGCCAAGATAAGTTATCGCAGTTTCTGTCGCAACTCTTGTTCTTGTAGATCTTTTTGAAAACATTATTGCCAAGGTCTTGCCAATCAAAGGTTGACCTGATTTTTTATTCAGATATTTTACATTATATTTATGCTGAATTGCTAATGTTAATAAATTATAAATTTGTTGAGATGTCAAATCGGCATGAGTTATATAATGAATTCCTGGTGTTGCCGGTTCAATTTTTAACGATGTTGAATAAGCGTTCGTTCCGAGATAATTAAAATATGAAATTGGCGAAATCCATTTATTGATTGGATTAATGCTTGATGTTCGATTGATTATAAATTTAAAGTTTGCAGTGGGAAAGAGACGAGAATTTAATAACATTGTTAATGTAGATGAGTTTCAACTTTGAAGGAAAAACTCTTTATAATTATTTAACCGTCCGATCGGCACAATAATACATACAATCTCTGGTACACAATCTCAAATTTAAAATCTCTAAGTGTAAACCGCCGAGATAATCTATAATCAATTAAATTAACCAATTAAATTAAGGATTTTAATCAATCTGGATCAATCTAGCATAGTGGGCTTTCGTTTCGATTGGCTAATTATTGTAGATCATTAACCTTATGAGATCTATGTAACTGCACAAAAAAGATAAATTATTAAGGTTTTTACGTACATATTATTTTTTCGCCTATCGCTAACAGATGGGACCGTTAATGTTACGCATCTAATCCCACACACGTTGTGATAAATTAAAATAGAATTATTTATGTTGAGCTCAACTCTATAATATAGTCTATGTGATAATCCCTCACCAATTTTATGTGTAACATTAACGGTCCCTCCTGTTCTAGTGGTTTAAGCCTTAAGGTCTTAGCCTTAAGGTCTTAGCCTTAAGGTCTTAGTCGGCTGGCTAACAACCATACTTCCCGCTCGATTTTATTTTCCTTTCGGAATTTACCGGAATCCAACTATATACTAAATCATATGATCTTAGCATCTTCCCCAGTATCGCCGTCAAAATTTTCACTTTCACGGGACCGCGTTTAAAAATCTTTAAATTCGGTTAAGTTAGGGTTAGCGTTTATAATAGGGCTAGGTTTTAGAAGGATAATAGTAAAATCACTCGAGGAATTTTTTTTTATTAGAGCAAGTTTTTGAGGAATAAGCGATTTTTGAAAAGCGAACGTTTTGTTTTGATCTTCCTGATCGTGTAACGTTACATTAAAACGAAACACACTATTGGATTATCATCACGTGAAAGTGAAAATTTGACGGCGATCCTGGGGTAGTTCCGTGGCTGCCGTAGCCGGTTTAAATCCTGTTCCCTATCCACAAATTTTAAATGTGTAATTTAATTTGACCGGCATTAAGACACGACCAACATAATTCTGCCGGAACTATGATGCAATTTTTAAACGGTTAAACGGTTCCAATCACCATTTTTTAGTATCAAAAGACATTCATATTCGTCATCAGTGTATTATACGTATGTACGTCTATCGCCTTTATACAATTAGACATATATTAATTAGCAAGTACTAAATAAAACGTCATATTGCCCCTTGAACAAAGCATTATTGAACTAAATTAATCGAAAGAATCAAAAAATCGGGATCAGTGATCTGAGCCAAAAGTCTAACTTTATATTTTATTCATCGTTGGCACTGTAAGTCAATTTCAATTAGTAATCTAAATCCTAAACGTCTCAAATCCTAAAACCTTGTCAACCCTTTTGTCTTCGCTTTAATAATGCTGCACAAATGTAAGGTTTAAAAAAAATGCAACGATTTTTTATGCGGCAATAAATACGAAAGCGAAACAATCTAAAATGTGAATATATTTTCTTACATCTAAAAAATAGCCCCAAAGTAAAGTAAATTGGCCAAACATATTAACGATGGTTACTTGAAGTTGAAAGTTTATGTATTAGTACTTTGTCATAACTGTTGTTGTCTCTTCGTTTATTACACACGGTATGATAGCTGGAAGTTCGGAACATAAATTTTTCTGTGACACTAGTAGTATGAAATTAATGTCTTTCAAGCAATAGATGAAAGTCAAGACGGGTATGAGTTTTCTGACGAGATTAGTTATTTGGAATCAGAAGTTGAAATAGGTAATATTATTTAGTAGTTAACTTCATGTTTACTATTATTTAGTTACTTTGCTAATTATTGACTTCTGCTTAAGGATGGAAAGTTTATTAGACTTTGATATATGTAGTTAAAACCAAACTAACCAAACTATAAAGTTTTAAATAACTAGTTTAATAACTTAATTTAAACTGGTTTAATTGATATAAACTAATAAATATTATATTTTTTTATATTCTCTTTATATAATTATTCATAATTATATATATTTATGTGTGTTTATACAAAAAGTATGCAAGGAGTATATAAAAAATACAATATATATAATTTATATACACATTGTATTAAATTTAATTTAAATAGTTTTAAAAACTTAAATTTAGTTTATAAAATAACTTATTTTAAATTAGATTTAATTTACTTTTTTTAAAAACTTTCTTATTTTTACTTTTGCTTATAAAGCTAAATTTGTATTTTTGTATTCTAATAAAAGGTTTTTGACATAATAATATAATTATTTGTTAATGAATTTTTTTATATAAATACAGTTTATATAATTTGGTTTTATTAAAGGTACAATATTCTTTTTTTAATTAATATTTTTTCAAAAGTCAATAACTTAAAGAATTTTATATATAGCTGTTAACAAGATTATATTTAATTATAATTATTTAATAAATTGAATTTAAAAATTTTAAAATAATTCTAAAGAGATATAATAACTTAGTATATTAAATAAATTATTATCTCTTCAAGTAACAGATTGTAAGTTCAAAATCTACTAAAGATAAAAATTTAGACAATTATATTTATAGTAATTGTTTTTTATTAATTTTTTTATTTTAAGAGTGATCTTGTCTGTGTGTCTTTTTATTATTAATAATATATGATTATATAATATATTAACAAAAATACAACTAGTCATATGTATAACTTTAGTCATTATCTAATTAAAGGTTCTGTCTATGGTTACCTACTAGATGTCATATCTGAGACCTGCTTATGAGTCTCTTATTTAAACTTTCTGATTTTTATATCTGAAATATAGTACATTACTATGATTGAGACAGAACAGGTTAGGGTTATCTAATTATTATTTATATCTAAGTATTACCTTATTGAATATTACTAAGTATCCATAATCCTTTTAAATTTACTCTTGACACAAACTTATTAAATATGATACCAAAATTACTCTTTAGATTTTATTCAATTTTAGTAGATCCTGTATTTACTAGAACTGGTTTGGTATCAGAAATGTTTAAATTTTGATAAGTCTATTTCTTTTTCATAGTTTTTTTTTATGTTTACCATATCACTTACTAGTGCAGCTTCTTTTTATTTCTGGTATATTCTCTTTTTCTCTTATATTGAGTGTTAACTTTTTATATTGGAAAACTTCTTTCTAAGAACTTCATTATACACTAATCTCTATTCATATAGACTTAGATACAGAGTTTTGTATATATTCATATGCTTTTATAGATTACAAAGTTTTTACCTCCAGCTGGAATTGAACTGTTGGCCTTGTCTATGAAAGGAGAGGTGCCTGGACCATTAGGCTACAGAACCTCATTCTATTGTTTTTTTATTAATCAATTAAAATAAAATATTTGTAATTATAAGATTTATGTAATTTAGTATATGTATATTGTAATACATCTATCTAATCAACTAATTTAATCATAAAATTAAATATAATATCAAATTGAAAAAAATATTAATTTTTTTAAAATTACTTGTAGTTTAAAATTTTATTTATAAAATCATCTTTTGTATTCTAATAAAAATATTTTTTACAAATTTTATTATAAATTTGTTTTTATTTTTACTTAATCTTGACATATCTTAGTACTGACCTTTATCCTAAATTAATATATTAATTAGTTTGTTTTGATTTTATATTACACCTAATCTTATAGAAGTATTATAATGCATATATATAAAATAATAAAATTTTAATTATAATTATACTATTTATGTTTTTATATACTTTCTAATTAATTATATTCTTAATTAAATATATATTTTTTTATTAGCCATGTAATTTATAAAATAAACATTTAATCTATTTTATAAATTAAATATAATATATATTAAATCTTCAAATCTAGGTGAACTTTAACTATACTAATAAATTTAAATCATAAATAAATTAGTTTTTTTTTAAACTTTGATGACAATTCTAGTTGGTTTATTAGCTATAATATAAATTTTACAGTTATATTTTATAATTGATTGTTACTAATATTATATACTATCTAATTTTATATTACTGACTTTATCTGATTACTTTTATAGCATTTAAGTACATGTTTACCACATGCTTGCATACAGTTACTTTAATAACTACTTGTGATTAGAGCATACTATTAAACTGCTACATAGACAAGAATATCTTCTAAACTTAATACAACGTCCCAAATGTCAGAAGTACTGTCTTCTATAAATTATACCTATATGTTTTACTTATATATTTTACCTAGTTTTGTTTCTTTTGCCTTTTAATCTAACTATATCTATTATCTTGTTTTCTATATTTCTTATCTTTTTGTTATTGTATTATTTCCAAATTGGTTCTACTCAGATATGTCTGATCCTTATGATCTTTTATCTTTAATATATCTGTTATTAATTCCTCTAAAGTGTTCTGACAATAGTCCAAGATCTGCAATAAATCTGTATTTCAAGCCAAACCTGCTATCACTATTGGTCTTTTAACTAATCTGTATCTCAAGCCAGATCTGTTGTTGCTATTTTTGCAGATACTTTAAGTCTTAATATTATACAGTAACTTGGTACTGCATTTAATTTCTAACATGGTGTTCTCTTTTATAATAGGAACTAAGACTTGTTGCACTTACAAACAAGACAATTCTGGTTATACCTAGGGAATTCTTCTAACTTTAGTAATATTATATTACCATATATTGCAAGCTTTCAGCTTATTCAATAATACCTGCAAGACAATTCTGGTTATGTTCAAAGAGTTACACTAATCCCAGTAATGCTGTACTATTTTGCAGATCTTATTTTATATTGGTTGGTTGATCTCAGTCTTGTTTATTATAAACTTTCATATAAGTATAACCAGAACCTAATTTGGTGTCTTTATATTGTACAAGAAAGTTATATGCTAACTTTCAAGATTTTCTCTTCTATAATTAGATTATTCAGCTATGCTAGAGATGCTTCTAATTTTGGTTAGACCAATTCTTTACTATGGCCCATCTTTATGTTCATCACTTTTTTTACCATTTCAGTCTTGATTACTTTCAAACTACTCTTTTAATCAAATCTTTTTTCTAAATCCCAATTAGGACTTATTTGCACAATTTGTTAATTATTCTTTCAAGCAAATACCTCACAAATTGGATGCAAGAATGTTGGTACTACCTATATTAGAAGGTGTAAGCATGTTAGTGCTGTTCTAGTCTAAAGAACTTATATGTACAATCTTTCTATAACTGTAACTTTCTGTAACAACTGCTTGTTATATATAGTGTCTGTATTTCACAATTAGGTTTCTTTTTAGAAAATTCTATTTTCATCATTGTATTGCACTTAAATTTTACTATAAAGCTTTACATTCAATTATAGACTTCTTATTAGGTTACAAAAGTTAAATCTTTTTAATTTTGTCTTTAGTTAAACTTGAACCATTGATCTTGACTATAAAGAGTATGAAACTTAACTGCTAAGCTATGGGACCTATACCAAATAAGTTTAGTTTTATTTTTATATATAATTTTTAATTTATTTATTTTTTTTTAGTATTACATCACAGCGAATTTATGAAATTTAGCTACATTTTGGTCACCAAATTTAAACATTTGGTCACCAAACTTAAATTTTGGTTGCTTAATTTACTATTGGCAAATTAACACCAAACCCCGAAAAAAAAATTTTGGACCTCTGATTTAGGCTGATAACATGTCTAACCCATCTTTTCTATATTTTAACTCATCTTCCTCACTATCCAATTTGCTTATCCTATTGGTTACTTATTTTGATGCTTCTCATTAGATGATCAAATTTTATGTATGTACATATGTATGTGCAAATATAAATCTTAATAAAATCATTATCGCATGATTACTTTTACAGCATACATATATTTGTGTACCCATATAAATATTTATACATACATATATATGTATGTACGTACCATATATACATATGATGTTCATTTCACATGCACTAAAAAGAAAATGGATGTTAGTGACACCAATAGCATCTTATGTTCACTTTGTAGCAAAAAAAAGTTCAAAAACCATCATAGACTCAAAATACACCACCAAAAAATACATTGCAAAAGAAAAACTACGAATATCTCTTCAAATGAACTATTTTTATGCCCACTTTGCCTAAACAAAACATTCGAAAAAAAAGTGGATAGAGTCATCATAAAACATTAAAGCACTTTAATTATAATATACCTCCTAAAAATCTATTAATTCTTTCTGATATTCATATTAATGAAATAAAAAATGTATTAGTCTATCTAATTCAATTATAACTTAAACTTTACTCAAAACATTCAGGACCACAAACGATTTCAGCACCACTTACAGAATCAGAGTTTATCTCGATCTTTCAAAACAATATTAAACAATATTCAATTTGTCATCGAAGATATGTGTGTAGATTTAGTGAGTATGATGCATATAATACTCTTTCAAGTATTTTTAATCAGGAAAATCGGAGTCATCGAATATTTGAGCAAGAACAAAGATCTGAGGTTGTGCTTGTTGAATCAACTCAATTATCATCATTAAAGATTAAATTAAATAATTCTTTTCAAGTAAATTCAGAAAAACCTGAGATGATTATAATTTGGAAAAATCGGTTAATTAAAGATAAGGAGGAAAACATATCTAAAGCAGGTTGGGTTACATTAAAATTTCTCGTAGGGCAATTTTATTAGATATTTAATAAATTAGATAGTGAAAAATTTGAAATAGTATAATAATTATGTAATTAAATATATGTATATAATTATTATTGCAGAATTTATTATATTAAAATATTAAAATACATATTATTATTGCAGAATTTAATAAGCTTTAATAATCATTAATTGTAGTATCTTTTTCGAAATAGTTTGGTATATTATGAGTATAAAAAAAATTAGAATGACTTTCATATTTCATAATTTCTAATATCGCAGATTTTTGATCTTCACTAATACCACTATCTCTCATAGTTCTGTGAAAAAAGTGCAAAACATGATCATAATTTTTTTTTTCTACCCCACAGCAAGAAAATGCTAAAAACTCAATATTTCGATATATATCAATAAATTTAGGTACATGATATACAAGTACATAAATATATGGAGTTACATCTGTTGGTCTATAAAGTCTATGAATAAATCCAGGTGAATTTATATTGCCTTGAGATTAGGTTAAAAAAAGTTTTAACCATTGTTGTGCTTTTTGATAAAATTGATTTCCAGATATATTTAAATTATGCATGTCATTATATAGATCATTAAAGCCATCCCACAATTGTCTAATTATAGCAGCTCTTTGTGGAACAAATAAAACATCTAAATTAAAACCTCTTAGAACTTTAAGCTTATCTTTTCCCATTAGTGCAGTAAATAACCAAGTTTTAGTTTCTTGGTTTTCTCAGAATTGAAAAGAAACATTAATTCGGTTCATTTCAGATACAATTATCTGTCATATTTGATCTGTAAAACATTTTGTACTGTGTAATTCACTTAAAACAAGTGTCCATAGTCGATCATAAATATGCAACATTAAGTGAAGTTCATTTACGACCCAATTCTGAATAGGGATCATTGGAAATAATGGAAGATATTTGTGCCCAGGTATATTTGAATATTTGTGATTTATATCTTTGATTTTTTTACTAATAGTCTAATTATCTTGCTTATTATTATTGTTTGTTTCAAATACTTCAATACCATTTTGGGATTTGTTGATCAAACACCAAAGACAGAAGTTTACACTATTTGCAGACTTGTGTCCTAAACAAATACTTAAAAATTTCCAATCGGCAAAAATATACAATTTGATTTTCCATTTATATCCATTTTTATTGATAAATTCATTTTTAATATCATCTAAATCTCTTATTAATGGACTAAGTGCAATACGTAATGTGTTATAACTTTCTGCATCAGGATAGATAAGCAATGCAAGATGTGAATCGGATTTGAAAACATTCATATTGTTTAAAATAGTAAATACAAACAACTCCAATTCACCAAAACACTCAAACCAAACTCTCTCGAATATTTACTATCCAATCCAAAAAAATGTTAGCACTAGCAAGAAATACAAATAATATCACTCTCACTAATCCATTATCCTTTAACTTACCAACTCTCAACAATATTCTACAAAAATTAAGTGCCTCTAATATTGAACGAATTTTTAACTCTACACCTCTACTTAACACTATTGGCACCTTACGAACTAAGGCCTGGCTTCTCAAAATTTGGCAGCCAAAACTTACAACAGATATACTCAATACACACTATCGCAAAACACAAAACTTCACACTAATTTTTCATATTTGCCAACTTGCAAAACACAACATCTCACTGTCTAACTTTTTACCATCACCAGAAACTTTTACAAACTACAAAACAATATATGATATACTTCCTCCAAA